GCAGCTGGCTCCAAAGTGTGCTCGTGCCAAGTAAATTCATTTTCTACGCAGTTTGGTGTAGACACGACCTGCTTTGATGGTTTCAAAAATCAGAAATGTCTATGGGTATGGGTTTAGGGATGTGAGGTTAAGGACAAGGTTCTCTCTCCTTTTATTAGGGAAAGGATTTCACATCGTGTGTTGAAACCTCTGGCCAGCAGAAACAGCACATATGACCTTTGAGATGAAGGTTGCCCAGAGAAGCTGTGGCTGCCCAATCCTTGGAAGTGTCCATGGACAGGTTGGACGGGGCTTGGAGCAACCTGGGCTAGTGGAAGGTGTCCCTGCCCATGGCAGGGTCTGAAATGAGATGATCTTTAAGGTCTTTTTTTAACCCAAACCCTTCCATGATTCTATGAAGCATCTAGTTTTGATAAATCAAGGTATCTAAGCACTTGTATCATTTTGAACACAAGAAGAAATTTGGTGATATATTTTACAGTATTGGGACTTTTTGGTTTTAGCATATTCATATTAATGGAAATCTCTTTTTTGGGAAAATTATTTTCTTATAAGCATCAGCCAGGTTGGTACTTGACCAAAGAGGAGCAGATATTTGACCAAAGGTGAGAAATTTTCATGAGGGCAGAAGAAAAATATGAGTCAATGTTGTGAGCATCCTTAATGCTTGTCCAACATGTTTGAGCCTGTTTTGTTTTGTTATATTTTGTTTTCTGGTATGTTTTATCCTATCAATGACATTAATTATGGGGTAATTGCCTTAGTAGCATGTAACAACTCTCCTCTTTTTTTTAAATAGATTTTCACACAATGTGTAAACTTTGCTGTATATGTGCTACGTTTCTTGTGTCATGAAATAACGTGTAGACAAAATAATGTTTTTCCTGTCAGAAATTCAATGGGCATCTAAAGCAAAGTGACAGGTGGTTAAATAGCTGCATTTAAAGGATGTCAAGAAGATTTTTTGGACAGGTACCAAAACCCAATGCCAAAAAGAAGGCCTAATACCATCTGTTTTGTTAGCAGAGAGATGCAATTATACATCAGATTTTAAATTACGTGAAATGCCAAATTCATAACCTTGATTTTTGGGTCAAATCTAGCTTATCTAGATTGTGAGTGTTTTTATTTACTAGTGCAGTTCCTGACCCTGAGCCCACACAGGTAAACGAGGATGTTTTCAATCAGCCCCATTTTAAAGTCATAGGAAGCTCTCGAGCCGCATTTCATTTTGTTTTGTATTACATGTAAATCCAGATGCAATGTGGATTTAATTAATCCAATTTCACTGCATTTAAATGTACACATTTGCATTGTGTTTATTGGCAATTGGTTTTATCCATTTGTTCAGCATTTTTTATGACCAATGAAACTCCTGAATATTTAGAGATCTCTCTCCTTCCGAGCGGGAACGAGGAGTGTAGCTCTGAATTAAATCACTCTCAGACATAAACTGGGGATAAGACTAAAATGTCAAAATATAGCTGCATAATACAGTGGGGAAATGATATCACTATTTTAAAGTAATAAAGTGCACTGTGCTAAATTATTTGAAAAACCATTTCAGCAGGCTTTCTAGGTGGTTTGTTGAGGGGAGGAGGACCACTTTGAAACAAATAATGAAACTGATATATTCAGAGACTCTTTCCTGCCTCTGAAAGGTGCCTTGGAAATTATGATTGTTCAGATTTAGTCTAATATTTAGAAATACTCACTGCAGAGTTTTCTCTTCTTTGTGAGGAGTCCATGTGGCTTAAATGGGATTGCTGAGATAATCACACTCCGCTGTTTCTGTTCCAGGGCTAGTGTTAGGCATGAAATGTGAGTTGTCATGTTGGGAGCTCCTCTTTCAACGACCTGACCAAAGCAACTACAAACGCTCTGGGGTTTGTGAGGAGTCAGTTGGGAAAAGAACAAAAGGACTGGGATCTTTCCCTGTCTGTGTTTAGCTGCTCTGTTTGGCTCTGCTGGGAGTGCTGTGGCTCAGCTGGTGTCCCTGGCTCTCTTCAGCCATCCCAGACCACTCCTTTCACCTTTGCTTGGCCTTGATCCTTTGTCCCATCACATGTCTTGAGGAAATGTCACCATCTTTCTTATAAGCCCCCTTTAGGCACTGGGAGGGGCTCTAAGGTCTCCCTGGAGCCTTCTCTTCTCCAGGCAGGACAATCCCAGCTCTCCCAGCCCATCTCCAAAGTGCAGGTGCTCCAGCCCTGGCAGCATCTCCATGGCCCACTGTTGATCCTATGTAGAGAGGGACACCAAAGTGTTAGAGGAGAGCAGGGATTCAGCCCAAACTGCATCTCCTGGTAGACCTCCACTTTCTCCACAGCACGGGCACCAAAGTGCCACAGGGACAAAACACGTTGAAACGTGGATAAAAACAGGCTGGAGGAGGATTCAGCAGCGGGTACAAATTGGAGGCTTCCTGAACACATGGTGAGGCTGGACAGGTTCCCCTGGGGCAGCAGGAGCTGCTGATCCGTGGGCAGAGAACCATGGAGGCTGGAGACACCTCATTCCCCAGGCCCTGGGCAGGGATGATGCTCAGCTCCCCTGGGTTATCTCCTTCTGACAGTCTGACGAGGAGAAGCAGCACTGAGACATGAGGTGAGCTGTGAGAACATTCATCTGATGAAGAGTGTTTCCTCTGCCAGCTTCCCTCAGCATATATATATATATATATATATATATATAAAAGCATTCTGGATATTAATAGCAATAACACTTTGTGACGACGGGTGTTGCAGATCAGTCTCTGTTTGAGGTCTAACGGAGGCACACGAACGTGCAAAGTTTGACAGGGCTGATTGTTGAAAATCCGAGGAGGCATTAAGAAAACAGGGGAAAATAAGCTTTTAAATGGTCTGAAAGGGATCGTTGGGGTGTCTCTGTTACTGAAAAGAAATTGGGTTGTACCTGCCGGGGAGATGCTGCACGTTTGGTGATGAAATGTGTTAATTTTTGTAGGAAACAACAGAATTAAATCCTGCTTTTAGTGGAAAAGCCAGTTCAGCCTTAACTGCAAAGCTGCTAGCAATGACTCCACAATATATGAAATATAATAATTATGATAATTAATAAAGATAATAATACAGTAAAACCTTGCTAATGACTCAGAGGCTGCTTACTAATTACTGAATTTTGTGGATAAACAAGCCAGAATAATGCATCATAAAATACACTTTGTTCCATTATTTTGACAACTCTCATTTAGTTTTAATTATTTATACTTCATAATATACCAGTCACTCTACTTGGGAGGGTTTTACAAAAATAATGAAGCTCTAATAATGTGACATGTCAGTTCAGTATTTGCTGAAACAGGGAGAGAGGGAAACCAGTCCTTTCTGGGTGTGTGTAAATCAGGAAGGGCACAGATCAGCTGAGCACAGATATTCAAAGTTTTATGCAAAATATTATACATCTCTGTAATGCCTTTGACCTGGAGCCCTGGAGCAGCTTGCCTGGTGGAGAACTCCCCCAAGCCGACCTGTTTCGCTGCTAAATGGAGAGGGATCGATGCTGATTCTCCAGAAAAATCACACCGTTCGAAAAATAATAATAGATGTGAAGCAATTTTTGTGCCCAAGTCAATTTTTATCCTTAAATCAATTTTTTTTTCCACCATCACGAGGGCTGAAAGCTTGTTTTTAATTTAAATGAGAGCTACGATTTTTACATAATCACTTGATTCCTGGAGCTGGCATTCCCTCGAAACCCCAGCCCGCCTCCCCCTTCCTTGAATTTGGCAGGAGTTGGCCACGCTTTTGCAATGAAAGACGCTCGTGGAAGGACTCAGCATTTATTTAGCTCAGCTTTCCAGCTACAGAGAGTCCTGTAGGGTGCACATGGCAAATATGCCTTCGGAGTCATGAGGTTCTTAAAAAAAAAAAAAAATAAATAAACAAACCCATTTCTAGCGGAGGTTTGCCAGAAAACTGACTCCATCACTCCTGTGAGCTCTCTGGGAGCTTATGGATCGGTCGCCGTAACTTTCAAGCGTTCCCCTCTATCTGGGAATGGGATAACGTACTGCAAAAACACCCTGGATGTAATATTCTCCCGCACCGGGCCGGTTTTCTAAAGGGATCTGTTGTGAAATGTTGGAAGGGAGCGGGAGAGAGAGGAAGGGGGACCCCTGTGCCTGTTCCCGTCCCCTGTTCCACCCTCCCTCCCCACGGCCGCATTTGGGGGTTCCATTCTGCTGCGCCCTGCGAGCCCCGGCCCGGGCGAGTTGGAGGGGGACGGCAGAGAGGGTGGCCAGGGATGGGTGCTGCCTTCCAGCAGCAGGGTCCATAAAGACGGGAGCGTGGAAACCCGGGTGGTGGGAGAAGGTGGCTCTCCGAGCCTTGGGGAGCCGATGCCAGGTGCAAAGGCTGAGGCTGGCTGTTCCCTCCCGGGTGGGAGGGCGCGGGGGGAGGGCGCTTCCAGAAACGGCGCACTTAGGGGCTCCAAGTGGGGGACCTACTTGGGGGTCCCTAATGGGGAGGGAGAGCATCCTTCACCAGCGGGCGGGCGCCAGGTGCAGAGAGAAGCGCTGGGCACCGTCCTGTGTCGGGAGAGGGCACACCGGGCACGGCGCTCCGGTGCGGGC